TTTCTGTTAAACATCAACAAGAATCAGCCATAGGTACACCCATGTCCCCTCCCTCCTGAACCTCTCTCCCGTCTCTCTCCCCAACTCGCCCTTCTAGATTGTCACAGAGCCCCTGTCTGAGTTTCCAGTCATATAGCAAATTCCCACTGGCTATCTATTTTACATATGGTAGGTACTGTGAGTTTCCATGTTACTCTCCATACATCTCACCCTCTCTCTCCCCACCCCCGTGTCCTAAGTCTGTTCTCTGTCTGTTTCTCCATTGCTGCCCTGCAAATAAACTCATCGGTATCATCTTTCTAGCATTAGTATATGATATTTAAATATATGAACTATTACATATTTCAAATGTATCTTTGATCCCTACTATGTACCACAGTGCAGTGTCTGCAATACAATAAGGAAGAAAGGAATGAAAGAAAAGAAAGGAAGGAAGAGAGAGAGGGAAGGAGGAAGGTGAATATATTAAATAACCAGCTCTATTTATATCAGGTGTTGAATATTCATTAGAGACAGCAATTTATTTTTTTATTTTTTTGGTTCCTACACATCAGAGGCCGATTCAAACCAGAACAATTGCCATAGTATTCTGCAAACAATAGATACTCCACTGATGGGATCCCAGTGAAACCAACGAAAATGAACCTGAACAAAACATAGCGTTAGCCTTCCTGAGGAACGAGACGGCCAAACATAAGCTCTGCTCCTCTCCCCTGGACCTCTCAGCATGTCCCCGGGGGTTCACTCTTGACAACTCTCCCTGTTCACTCCTCTTATCCATGAAGAAGCTAAGTGCCCGGTCCTGCTGGCTCCCCGTTCTCCCTGGAATCTCAGTGACATGACTCTCCTCTGCTTGGTTTTCTGCACTCACTCTGATGATGCTGTGCTGTGTTCAGGCGCTCAGTCACGTCCACTCCCTGCCATCCCACTCTGTCCATGGGGATTCTCCAGGCAAGAATACTGGCGTGTGTTGCCATGCCCTCCACCAGGAGATCTTCCCAACCCAGGGATCGAACCCAAATCTCCCACATTGCAGGCAGATTCTTTACCATCTGAGGCATCAGGGAAGCCTGCTCTAATCATAGCCACACTTAAAAAAAAATAATTTATTTAATTGGAGGCTAATTACAATATCGTAGTGGTTTTTGCCACACATCGACATGAATCAGCCACGGGTGCATATGTGTTCCCCATCCTGAGCCCCCCTCCCACCTCCCTCCCCATCCCATCTCTCTGGGTCATCCCAGTGCACCAGCCCTGAGCACCCTTCTCATGCATCGAACCTGGACCAGAGATCCGCTTCACATATGATAATATACACATTTCAATGCTACCCTCTCAAATCATCTCACCCTCCCTTTTCCCACAGAGTCTAAAAGACTATTCTTTACATCTGTGTCTCTTTTGCTGTCTCACATATAGGGCCATATACACAGCTTTCCCATTGCCCCTTATTTTGAGCCAGCGCTTCTGCAAAGATCCATTTTTCCTAACCCTATACAAGGATATGGTGCCCACAACTGTACAGTAACTGGTCAAATGAGATGAGATGTTATACAAATATTCCCCAAGCCTATAAACCTATGCATGTGCAAGTGTGCACACAAACACACACAACACTTACTCCTAAGTATATTTTTTGCAGGAAGAAGGATCCCTTCCAGGGCCCAAGAGTGCACTCTTGTCTAACACTCAGAAATGAATTGTCTAACAAGACACTTGTGCTAACAAAGCAAGAAACCTTGTTGGGAAGGAGGCACTAGGGTTAAGAGCAGGAGGTACGGAAACCCAGGAGAACCACTCTGTCATGTGGCTCACAGTCTTGGGTTTATGGTGATAGGATTAGTTTCCGTGTTGTCTCTGGCCAATCATTCTGACTCAGGGTCCCTCCTGGTGGTGTGAGCATCACTCGCTCAAGATGCATTCCAGCCAGGAGTTGGGGGGGGACATATGGACTGGCATCGCCTGTTTCCTTTTGACCTTTCCTGAATTCTGGTTAGTGCTGGCTTGTTAGTTCTGTTTTTTACTAGGACCTCCTTTCATAAAATATCCCACGCAAGTGGTTGCTGGTGGTGCCTGGCCAAGGTGAGTGGTTTCAGTCAGTGTTTCCCCTAACATGTCTGTACTAACATAATTTAAACTTGGCTTCCCAGGTGGTGCTAGTGGTAAAGAACTCGCCTGCCAATGCAGGAGACATAAGAGACATAGGTCCGATCCCTGAGTTGGGAAGATTCCCAAGGCAACTCACTCCAGTATTCTTGCCTTGAGGGCTAAAGTTCATAGGGTCACAAAGAGTCAGACACAACTGAAGCCACTTAACATACACACAATTTAAACTTGGATTATGCCCTAAGCACAAGAAAACAGAACCAAGATTATGGCTACTGCAGATGTAAAAATATGAAAGTGGGGAAAAGGACACGTGAATCTGTTTTGCCAGCCTGGTATTCATTTGCCCCTGTGGAAATAGTGCCTAAATTCTCCTTTGGGGAGCATCCCTCCCTCAGGCCTGGTCTCTGGCATTGAAAGGGGCAAATCACCCCTTTCTCCAGGGGAGCACTTGATCCAAGCCTGACCAGTGAGATCATTCCATCTCCTTGGCTCAGTGACTGGCTCCAGAAATCACATGACTCAGGCTGTGTTGGTCACACAGAAACACCCGGCTTTTATTTGACCTGTATCTCCTTCTAACCACCTCACTCCCTGCCACTCCAGATTGAGGACAGCCACCCACTAGTAGTGGTGACTGGAGCAGAGACACAAAAGGACAGGGGACCTAAGAGGTGTCCCCTTTTGCTCTCTGCAGTTGCTTCTTACTCATCCTCCAAGCAGGCTCACAGTCACTGGACTAGGAAGGCTTTTCTCATCCTCCTGGCCCCTCACCAGTGCTCACTCAGCCTCCGTTGCAGCACCCCCACGACTGTGACAGCCCAAGGGTCTTCTCTACCCAAACAACTAAAAATTCCTCAAAAGGCAAGAATCTAAAGGAGCTCCTCTTATTCATGCCTTTATACATTGCAGATAGCACAGACCGCATAGCATGTACATCCCTTACTGTGTGCCAGGAACTGTTTTAGGTGCTTGGGTGCAGCAATAGAGAAAACAGTCTCTGGAACTGTAGAGACTTCAGATGTATGCTTACTAACTGCTTTAATAAACAGTTGTACTGCATTCTATCAAAAGTTAGCCTGCACCCAGGTCCTGCAGGAAGAAAGAATTGGAATCAACTGTTCTAAGTAATTATACACTGGTTGGACAGTAAGCAAAAGTTAGCTTCAGCACAGTAGTTTAATCATCTATTTAGTTAAAAATGGGTGACTAATCATGTTTGCCTCTCTTTTTGTTTTTAATCTCTAAGATAAGGTATTTCATCAGTTGTGATTGATGTGTAACCAACAAAGGAAACTGCACAAATCAAAGACTCAGATCAATTAATTATTATAAAGTGAAGATATTCAAGTAAACTGCCCAAACAAATAGATTTGATGGAAAAAGAACATCCAACTTTGGAAGAATTTTCTTTTTGTTCTGAAATACCAGCACTCTACATCTAGAGTCTACCTAAACTGAGGTACCTAAACAGGTCTGCTGGTGGCTACCAGAATTCCAGGCATAATTTCAAAATATAATAATCCATCTCCTGGTGAACCTTGCAAACACAAACTGCTTCAGTGATGGAAATCCTACATAATTAGCACTTTAAAGTAATTGTTTTTATAAAAAGAAGATCATACATACGACGGTGTACACATTTCTTTCTTCTGGAAACTACTCTGTGGGTTTACTTGAGTATATCAACTGTTCTTGACTCCAGTTTGCAATGGAGGTGAAAGAAATCTGGGTGGAAGGCCCTACCTTACCAGTGATGAAACGTTATAAATGTTGCAGAAATGATGGTGACAACTCGACTGAACAAATCTGACTTTTACATGATTCCTTTTCAAACAGTAAGAAATGGAGGCCATCTAACTGATGAATAACCAGGCTAAGGGGAGCTCTGGAATTCCTGTGTGTGCCCACACAATTAAGTTGAGCACTCAGTGAAACTGCTTTCCCCGACAGGATGGAGGATGATCGATCAGGAAACAAACTGGACATATATTACAGTGAAAGGGCTTACAGGTAACTCTGGCCCAAGGCCACCGCCACTTCGTTTCGCAGATCAAACACCTCAAATGGTTAATTGAGGAGGAAAACCACTCAATGCTTGGCACTGGAAGATCCTCCGGCTGGGTCTTGCGTTGGTTTACGTTTCTGAGACGGTGGCAAGAAGGGGAAATTGGTCTTTGTGTGCACGGGTGAAGACGGGACTATAAGAAGGCCCAGATGCTCAGGGCTCGCCAAAGATCAATCACTCCGAATCTCAGGAGTTGGAGCCCACGCATGAACACTTTTAACCATCTAGTACCACACTGCAGCGGTGGCTGACAACACTGGGGAAGTAGTTCCAATCGGTAGCAAATCCTCCTTCTTTTGGGAAGGCTTCTAGGACCCCAACTTCCTTCAGGAGGTCTCTCCCCGCAGCCTGGGGAAATTTCAGCTCCCAGGTCCGGTCCTAGAGCTTCGTAAACGGCGCTCACCTGAGCAGCACTGGTTTAGTAAAAGGCTTTTACGCACACTTCCTCGCAAACACCCTACCTAAGTCCAACACGGAGGCTGAAGCACACAGACCCAGGGAAGACCAGAATAACCACCCTCCCGTCGCTGAAAGGAGGTCTCAGCGAGGACCGCCGCTAAGCGCAGAGGGCGCAAGCGCAGACGGGCGCTGAGCGCGGAGGGCGGAAGCGCAGACGGGCGCTGAGCGCGGAGGGCGGAAGCGCAGACCGACGCTGAGTGCGGAGGGCGCATGCGCGGCCTTATAGACGTTACTTCCGGCTGGCGGAGGAGGGGATTGCGGTGCTGGGGGGCTGACCCTGGGTCGGGACCTCTCCCACCTTCCCGGTTCGGCGACTTCGACCCCACCTCTACCGGGGTCGTGCCCCCAACCCGAGCCTACCCCTATGGCCCGGCACGTGTTCCTGACTGGGCCCCCAGGTAATCTTGCCCGTGTCCGCACCCTCCACGAGGCCGAGGGGTGGGCGTGGCGGGCGCGTGGGGTTGTGGCAGCCGGTGCTCTCCGCTTCTAAAATTCCGGATGTTAAGCTACAGGCTGGGTGGTCAGAAGCCTGCGGAAAATGTGATTGAGTCCATAAGGTAAATGAAATGAAGCCAACTTCAGGAGGGCGAGACAAGCTTGTTATGGAGTGGCACCTGGCCTTCCGTATTAAGGTGTTAAGTAGGATCAAAGGCAGTAGTAGTACTATCCCTGGTAGCTCAGACGGTAAAGAATTCGCCTGCAATGTGGGACACCCGGGTTCGAGCCCTGGGTTAGGAAGATCCCCTGGCGGAAGGCATGGCAACGCATTCCAGTATGGCAACCCAATGCAGTATTTTTGCCTGGAGAATCCCATGGACAGAGGAGCCTGGTGGGCTACAGTCCGTGGGGTCGCAAAGAGTAGGACAGGACTGAGCGACTAACACTCTGAAGTTGTGATGTGCACAGGCCATATTTCAGGATCTCTGCCACCACCACCGAAGGTGTCTGATTTCTGTCGTCACACGCGCCTGCATTTATCATGAAAGAATGGAATTCCAGTTGCAGGATAGTGCAACCGTGTTCCCTATCCACATTCACTGACCGCCCCCTCCACCCCAATTTCCTGCATGAGTAAGGTCGCAGGTTGAGAGCCTTGGTACCCCCACACACGGGGGCGGGGTACTGGGCACCCCCACCCAGACCCTACTTTGGTGCCTGTCCCTTCTAATGGAAATCCCTCCAGCCTTAGGCTGTGAAGGTCTCATCTTTGAAAGGTGGTGAAAGTGAAAGTTAAGTCGCTCAGTTGTGTCCGACTCTTTGGGACCCTGTGGACTGTAGCCCACCAGGCTCCTCCGTCCATGGGATTCTCCAGGCAAGGATACTGGAGTGGGTTGCCATTTCCTTCTCCAGGGGATCTTCCCCACCCAGGGATCGTACCCAGGTCTCCCGCATTGCAGGCAGATGCTTTAATTTCTGAGCCACCAGGGAAGCCCTTGAAAGGTGGTAGTGTGCGTTTAAATGAGAGACTGGTGGAACAGATAGATGCCTTTTAAGCCAAGATGCTGCACATAGATAAGCCATTACTAAAAGAAGAGGCAAGAAGTTTGTGGCAGCATCAGATTAAGACAGCATCAGATAAGAGAGAACAGCAACAAAAAAGATGGGCTTTGAGTGCAGAAAATGATTCTTTAGCTTCTTTGCAGTTTCAGGTTAACTGTGCATTCAGACATCAACCATTGTAACCCCAGGCCTGAAATTCTCTTTCACTTTTTTTTAATGAGTATCTCTAGCTTTTAGGACCACAGGTTAACTTAATGTTGCAGATTCTAGAGTTTTATATTTATCAGGCAATGGGGGAGTGGTGAGGAGAAGGGTGTTTTGAGAAATTTCTAATATCCAGAGGTACTCCTTAATATTGTAAAGGAATGTCTTCTAAAAGTTGATTTGTCAGTCCTTTATTTGAAACTTTATTTGAAAGTTTTCTCAGCAGCCTGGCCCCAGGACATCTATGTGTTTCATAACAGAGGTGGCTTATTTTTATGATTGTACCTGCCTGAGTCCTGGAGGTGGGTGAGGACAGAGGCCAGCCAGGCCAATACTAGTTCTTCTTTCTGTTTCCTTCTTTATAAAAGTTTTATATGCATACACATGATTGAAAGACTCAGTGCTAGAGTGTAGCTTTCTTAAGCCTGGTCTTAAACCGACTAACCTTCTCTTCCTCCCAGTTTTCCCAAAGCAGTTACACTATAATTTTAATTAGCTCAGTGGTCAGTGTTGATGGTATTTTAACTGTAAAAGTAAACCACAGTAGAGCCATGGAGCCAAGAGTATCTGTAATGTATTTTCCCTTTATGCACATTTCCCCCCCTTTGGAATTTCCTCCTGTTTTTTTCATTGACTTAGTATCTTTCTGTCACCAGCCCAGTCCCAAACTCTGCCTGCTGTCTGAATCTCTGTGTGTTCAGACATCAAGTATCTTCTCAGAAACACTCGTGTACACTCTCAGGGCCCTACTCATGTGTCCTTCGCACTTAGCAGTTTTTCCCCCACTTCCAACTGTCCAGCCTATGACCTATCCAGAGGGCTTTCTCTGACCCCTGGAGCCCACCTCTGCCTGCACACGGGCAGGCCTGAAGGGCGAGGGAATTCCTGCCCCCCTGAAGCAGCCGTGACCCTTGACAGTTGGAAGTTGGTGGGTAAACTCTTTCCTCACTCATCACACAAGAGAACTCTGAATCCAAAGCTGTCTCCTAGGACTTCTCAGTGGGATTAAACTACCCACTGATAACTTGTTGATAATGCAGTCACCTCCCCATCAGTGTGTTATCTTCGGGTGTTGCTTCCCAAATTAAACAGCTTGCACGTGAGTCTTTATTTCACGGTCCACTTTATAGGAGAACCAGAACCAAAATAATTCTGGGGCTTTCCAACCCGTTCTTTCAGAATGTGGTGTGGGCCTTTGATTTTGGGGTCTCCTTCCTATAGGTCACTTCTTAGTGTAGATAGCAAATTAACTGAGATGAAAAATTTCTAGAGCTGAAAAGGGAAAAAGGGACTAGAGCCAAATGCCTCCTCTTGGTTTAAGTGTTCTCCCTAACAGATCAGACCCACGATATTCCCTTTTATTACAGCTGTTCCATTTTGTCTTTTGCATAAAGTAAATAGCTTTGTTTTTTCTTAAATTAAGAGCAATACTCACTGTAAGACCAAAAAAAAAAAAAAAATCTAGAAAGTTATAAAGAAGAAATTGAAAGTGCCTTAGATTTACAACATACAGAAACAAGTACTATAAATCTTTCTGTTCTTCTTGACATTTTCTTCTGGAGACACCTACATACTTCACTTTTTTTAAATTGAGACATAGTTGATTTACAGTATTGTAGAAGTTTCATGTGTATAACAGTGATTCACAGTTTTTCAAGATTCTGTTTATAGGTATTATAAAATATTGCTTTTTTCCCCCCTGTGCTGTAGAATATATCCTTGTAGCTCATTTGTTTTATATGTAGTAGTTTGTGCCTCTTAATCTCCCCCATCATACCCCTTCCCTCTCCCCACTGGTAACCACTAGTTTCTTCTATCTGTGAGTATGTTTCTTTTTATTATATAAAACCAGTTTTTTCTATTTTTTAGATTCCATATATAAGTGATACCACACAGTATTTGTCTTTCTCTGCCTGAGTTATTTCACTAAGCATAATATCGACCAGGCCCATCCATGATGTTGCAGATGGCAAAGTTTCATTTTTTTTTGTAACTGAGTAGTATTTCATTGTATTGTATACCATATCTTTGTCCATTCATCTGTTGATGGAAACTTAGGTTGCTCCCATATGTTGTAAATAATGCTGCTATGAACATTTGGGGGTACATTTATCTTTTCAAAATAGTGTGTTCGTTTTCTTTGGATATATACCCAGGAGTGGAATTGCTGGATCATATGATAGTTCTGTTTTTAGTTTTTTGAGGAACCTCTATACTGTTCTCCACAGTGACCGCACCAATTTACACATAACAGCATACAAGGTTCCCTTTTCTTCTTGTCCTTGCCAACATTTGTTATTTGTGGTCTTTCAAAAAAAAAAGTAATGGAATACTACTGTGTATTTCTGTTGTTTCTTAACCTGCTTTTTCTCCATATATTATTTTCATATGTTGTGGTCTGTTTTCCATGCTAAGCAGTAAGCTCTTTCCATAGGTAAGCAGTGTTCTCTTTAATGGTTGCATGAGATTCCTATGGGTTTATGTCATTATACACATGATACCATAATTTAACAATCCCTAATGAATGAACATTAAGTTGTTTCAGAGAAGTCCCAACTTACACATCAACAGAGGCCACTTGCCCGTGTTAAGCGGATTCTTCAGTGATTCCCCTAAAGCAGCAGTCACTGAGGGACAGAGGTGGGGTTACATTCCCTCCTAGTGCCATGAGCGTGGGCTGCTGTTCATGTTTCAGAAGGCCGGACACCATTGTTTCTTCGTGTGAAACTTGGAGGAAGAATGAACTAAATGAGAATAACATCATATTTTATTTCAAGTAAGCTTCAAAAGCTGCTTTGGGAACCCTGATGACTCTGCATGGGCAGCCATAGGAATAATACGACTTGCAACCCTGTTGTCTCATAATAGCTGTGTTGCAGATGTGGTTTCCCATTTTGGGGTAGTCATGATGCCACTGACTTTGTATGAGAACAGGGTTCATATGAAATAAAATCATGGTGGCAGATGAAGGCCCCTGTTAAACTGTATGGTCTCTCTCAGTCGTCTGACCATGGATAAGTTGCCCATCTTCTCTGTGCTTCAGTTTCTTCTTCTGTAAAATAGGGACAAGGGTGGCAAGTGCTTCACAGGGTAATTGTAAAGAATTAAGCAAGAAAATGCTTAGGAGGCATGCGAGACCAGGCCCTGCCTCCACAGCGTCACTGAATAGTAGTATTAAATAGTGTTTAACTTGTAAGCACCCAAGTGTTAATCAGAGTAGTCCATTGGCTAGGCTGGGAGGAAACGAAGGGGTCCTGGGTGGGGAGGATGAGTGGGCAGAGGTGCACAGGTTATCCTCTGGGAAGAGGTTGGGGGCAAGTCAAAGGAATACTTAGGGATACTCTAGGAGGTGATGGAGATCAAAGCAGTCCATCCTAAAGGAAATCGGTCCTGAATATTCATTGGAAGGACTAATGCTGATGCTGAAACTCCAATACTTTGGCCACCTGATGCAAAGAACTGACTCATTGGAAAAGACCCTGATGCTGGGAAAGATTGAAGGTGGAGGAGAAGGGGATGACATAGGATGAGATGCTTCAATGGTATCACCAGCTCGATGGACATGAGTTTGAGTAAACTCTGGGAGTTGGTGATGGACAGAGAAGCCTGGCATGCTGTGGTCCATGGGGTTGCAAAGAGTTGGACACAACTGAGTGACTGAACTTAACTGAACTGAACTGAGGAGGTGATGGAAGGCATGGCCAACCTGATGGGATTGCTTTTCTGGAAAAAGTTGAAAAATTGCCATTTCTAGTAGTGTTGGAGGTATCTAAGAGTCCCATTTGGGGGAGCCATACATTGTAAGTCCAAGGAGAAATGAAGGGATGTTCCCACTGTTAAACATAGGTTCAGAGTGTCTTGAAATCCTAACTTAAAGCATCCAGCCTTTGCCTGAAGCTTGACCAGCTTTACTTTCTAGGTGGAAAAGTTTGCTCCCTCAAGAAGAGTAAACTCAGGAGAAAACAAAAGCTTGTCTTGTAGGATGCAAATTGCACTTGAAATTATCATCAGAAAACCACTCCGTTGGTTCTCTGATCATGTATGTGACAAAACTAATAATGTTTCAGAATTTAAAAATAAACTTCAGTATACCATTCACATTTTTATTATATTTGTTTTCTACTTGAAATTAAACAGTTTTTACATCTGGAGCAATCAAAGTTAAGTGAAGTTAATGTTCATAAAAGCCTTTTGCAGCCCATTTCTCTCCTGGTTGCTATGCTCCAACAAGGCAGTGGGTCCTGATGGACTTTTTTTTCTTTTTCTCTAGGAGTTGGAAAAACAACACTGATCCAGAAAGCCACCGAAGTTTTAAAGTCCTCTGGCGTGCCTGTCGATGGCTTTTATACAGAAGAAGTCAGACAGGGAGGAAGAAGAATAGGGTTTAATGTTGTCACGTTGTCTGGCATCCGGGGACCTTTATCCAGAATTGGGTACTGCAGCTTCATTCCTGAAGTGTTTTTTCTTTTCTTTTCTTTTTTGACCATGCCTCACAGCATGCGGGGTCTTAGTTCCCCGACTAAGACATCAAACCTACGCCCCCTGCATTGGAAGGGCAGAATCGTAACCCCCGGACCACCACGGAGGTCCCTCTGCGGTGGTGTTCTCCTGGGCCCAGGGCTGAGCCAGGTGGTCCCTTCTTTCTTAAAGAATCTTGAGCTTTTATGGCTTTCTTGGCATCAAAGAAAACAGAGGTTGAAGTCATCGTATGAAAAGCAAAGTTGAAAATACCGTATTTCAGTGCAAACTGATTCCACTGAGCAGTAAGCTCTTCTCTCTTGGTACCTTGTGGCCCTGTTTCTCCTGTCACTCTTCTAAGACAGGTGATACGCCCGCTCCTTGGAGGTAACTGCCAGGCTGTGGGCGGTGGTGTGCGCACCAGTGTTAGCCCTGATCTCAGGAGGGAATGAGGAATCAGATCAGCTCTGCTCACTGCACTCTCTGTGTAGGTGATTTTTAAGGATGGTTTAGCACATGGAGAAAGCCAGAGGCTCAGTGGAGCAGCTAAAAATCAGAAGTCAGTGCAGGGGTCTCAATGAGGGATGGACCATCTTTTTCTTTCAGGTCAGAGCCTCTGCCTGGAAAGCGTGAGTGCCGTGTAGGGCAGTACGTGGTGGACCTGACGTCCTTTGAGCAGCTGGCGCTCCCGGTCTTGAGGAATGTGAGTGTCTTTCTGCTTCTGAAGCCGGGCTGTTCTTAGTACCTTGTGGGAATTGCTCGCCCTGGGAGCAGAGTGGCTTTTGCTCTAGAGATGTCAGTTTTTTGTTTTACAGCTTAAAAGTCTTTAAGTGATTGAGCTCATGTAACTTCCTGTCACTCTGAACTACAAGTAAATTCCTTGTCACAGAAATTCAGTATGTGTAAAAGACTATACTGGGTGGGCTTTGATGCCAATCTTCCACACTCCCCAAAGAGAAGTCTTTCCTCTGATCTTCCCCTTGTTTATATCTTAACCCTATCTTCACACCACAACAAATAAATATTTAGGAAGGTAAAATGTCATTATATGAACATAATGGTAAGAACTTAATACATTACATCACTGTATTACCTGTTATTTTTTTTAAAAAAACAGCATTATTGAGGTATGGGTTTCCCAGGTGGCTCAGCAGTCAAGAATCTGCCTGCCAAAGCAAGAGACATAGGAGACACAGGTTCAGTCCCTGCGTCGGGAAGATCTCCTGAAGAAGGAAATGGCAACCCGCTCTAGTATTCTTGCCTGGAGAATCCCATGAACCGAGGAGCCTGGTGGGCTACAGTCCATAGGGGTCACAAAGAATTGGACCTGACTGAGCAACTGAGCACATTTTGAGATATAATTCACATACTGTACAATTCACCCATTTAAAATGTACAGTTCAGTTTTTTCTCATATACTTATGGGATTGTGCAATCAACTATCTTAGCCCAATTTTTGAACATTTTTGTCATCCCCAAAAGAAACCCCATTCCCATAAGCAATCTCTATTTCTATGTCTCTGCTGTTCTTTGAAACCACTGTCCTACTTTTTTGTCTGCAGATTTGGCTATTCTGAATATTTTCTGAGAAGGAAATAATACAATATGTGGTCTTTTGTGACTAGCTTATTTTATTTTGCATAATAGTTACAGGGTTTATCCATATCACAGCGTATATCAGTACTTTGTTCCTTTTATGGCTATATAATATTGCATTGTATAGATATACCACAAATAATTTATCTGTTCTTCAGCTAATGAGCATTTGGATATGCTTCTACTTTTGGCTATTATGAATGATGCTGCTCTGAACATTTATGGACAAGTTTTGGTGTAGATAACTGTTTTAGTTCTCTTGTGGAGAACTACCTACAAGTGGAAATGCTGGGTCATGAGGTAATAATTATATATATAACTTTTTGAGAAAACACTGGTGTTTTCCAAACCAGTGGTGCTGTTTTACATTACCACCTGCAATGAATGAAGGTTTCATTTTCTCTATAGCCTTGCTAATTGCTGTCTCTTCCTAATTTTGTACAATCTAGTAGGTGTGATGCAGTATCACATTGTAGTTTTGATATGCACTTCCCTGTTGATCTCTGATGTTGAGCATCTTTTCACATACTTATTGGCCATTTGTATATTTTCTTTGGAGAAATGTCTTTTTCTTTGGCCCATTTTTTACTTGCCTCAGTTGTCTTTTTTTTACTGAGTTGTAAGATTTCTGTGTGAGTTCTGGATACCAGTCTGTTTTCAGATAACTGATTAGCTGGTATACAGTTGACTCTTTGTATCTCTGCATTCCATGTCTATGGTTGTGGAAGACAAACTGCTGTGCCATTTCATATGAGGGATTTGATGATCCTTGGATTTGGTGTGTGTGGGAGGGCCCTGGAACTGGTCTCCCTTGGATACCAAGAGACGCTTGTATTTATCTACTCTATAGCTGTCTTTACTTTCTAGATGTGATGACACAAATGTTTTTATTTTTGAAAAGTCTAGTTCATCTATTTTTCTTATGGTGTTTGTGCTTTTGGTGTTTTACCAAAGAAGGCTTTGCCTGATGCCGTTTGATGAAGATTTATTTCCATGTGTTCTTCCAAGAATTTTATAGCTTTACTAATGCATTTAGGTCTGTGGTCTACTTTGAATTGGTTTTTGTGTATGGCGTAAGGTATGGATTAAAAGTCATTCTTTTGCATGTAAATATCCAGTTTTTCCAGAAATGTTTGTTGAAAAGACTCTTCTTTCTCCATTTAATTATATTAAAACTCTTTTACAAATTAGTTCAATTCTGTTTTGAATTCTATTCAGTTTATCCTCATGTCAGTTCCATCTGTTCTTATATCAGAATGACAGTGTTTGATTGCTGAAGCTAGGATGTTGATAGAGGTTGTGTTGAATCTGTAAATCAGTTTGGAGAGTATTGCCATCTTGGTGGTGGTAGTTTAGTCACTAAGCCATGTCCGATTCTTGTGATCCCATGAACTGTAGCCTGCCAGGCTCCTCTGTCCATAGGATTCTCCAGGCAAGAATACTGAGTGGGTTGCCATTTCCTTCTCCAGGGGATCTTCCTGACCCTGGGTCTCCTGCATTGCAGGTAGGTTCTTTACCGACTGAGCTATGAGGGAAGCCCCATTGCCATCTTAACAATATTGAATCTTTTGATCCATGAATATGACTTATCTTTACATTTACTTAGACTGTCTTTGATTTTGTTCAGTCACATTGTTCTGAGGTTTCCAGCATACAAGTCTTATACTTCTTTTTAAAAAATTTATACCTTTTTATAAAAATTTCCCAATTTTATTTTTAGACTGTTCATTACTAATGTATCCTGCAACCTAGGCAGACTAATAGTTCTAACAGTTCTTTAGTGAATTTCTTAGAATTTTCTATTTACAAAATGATATCATCTGCAAATGGGGAAAATTTTATTTCTTCCTATTTGCTTTGGATGCCTTTTATTTTTTCTTTCCTAATTGCCTCAGCCAGAAGCTCAATTCGGTGAGTTTTTGAAGAATTGGTATTAATTTTTCTTGGAATGTTTGCTGGAATTCACCAGTGAAGCCATGTGGGTCTAGGTTTTTCTTCATGGGAAGCTTTCTAATTATGAATTCAATTTCTTTACTTGTTATATATCTGCTGGTTTTTATTTCATTCTGAATTAGTTGTGGTAATTTGTATCTGTTAGTAATTTATTTGTCCATGTCATTAGATAGTAAGTTACTTAATTTGGCATACAGTTGTTCATATATTCCCCTATAATCCTTTTTACTTTGCAAAATCTGTTATATTTTCCCTTTTTTCATGATTTTAACTGTTTAAGTTGTCTCTTTTTGGACTTAATAACTAAAGGTTTGTCAATTTAGTTGATCTTTTCAAAGAACCAACTTTTGGCTTTGTAGATTGTATATTACTTGTTTTTTGCATTCATTCATCAAATATTTATCAAATCCTTGATATATAGTCATGAACAAAACATGTTTTCTACTGTCTCAAAACTCTCATTCTAGTGGAGATGTAGATATTAAGCAAATAAATGGATAATTGTCATAAATGCTGCCAAGAAAAAAAAATGGGAGTGCTGTGAGAGAGACGAGAGGAGCTGACTTTAGATCTGCTGACCAGGAAAGAGCTCTGGGGTGGCGGCGTTTGGATGAAATGGAAAGGTGAGAAGGGCACCATCACTTCCAGGAGAGAATATTCGGGTGTTTCATGGTGGTCTGGGGAGAGTGTTGTGGATGACAGGAGCAGAGATGTGGAGGCCTCGGGGCCCTGGGCAGGAGCAGGTGAAGGAGGAGGGCCGCTTGGTGAGGTGGGTAGAGTCAGCTGTGTGAGGTTTTTGTGGACCTTATTAAGGAATATGGGTTTTATATCGTCTTATTGTCAACTTACAACTTTGATATACTTTTGTGAAAATCAAATAGTATGGACCTGCCTCGAGAGGCACTTCTTTATAAACTCTGGCAGTCTCCACTGTACCAGCGGTGCAGTCCCGGTCCTTCCGAGGCCTCGGACTGTGCCGTGTGGCTTTCTGCAGTCCGTCCTCCTCCCCATCCTCCTGCACGCGGCTCAGCCTGCCCGCCACGTGCCAGCCTTCCGCCCTTGTCATTTGCTGTTTCTCATGCCTTGGCTTCTCTGCTCTTTTTTCTTTTGATACTCAGGGCTCAGCTGAAATAGACAGGCTTTGGTAAGTGCCCAAGGCTGCTGGGTGTGCCTGTGAAGGGCAGCGTCTGACTCGGGGTCTCGCGCCGCGTTCTGGCAGCGGCGGCTGCCCCTCCAGCCCGCCTGCCCCTCGGCCCTGTCTCTCCCTGCCTGCTCCTCTTTTCCCCTCATTTCCTTTTCTTGGAGCTTTCTCTCGTGCCCTCTGCTGGGGACTCTGGTGCCTGTTGTATTGTGTGGAAGCGGTCAGGGAACGTGGTATTTTTATCTCTAGTTATTTTCCCATCCAGTACATACCTTTCCACCTAAATGTTAGAGAAGCAAGTGGAATACTTCAAATAAAATTCCAGATGATGACTCTGGCTTTGAGTACTGGATCGATATAAGGAATTGATTTTTGCACACCTTGCTTAGAGCAGACAATCCCGGGAGAGCAGTGTGTACATATGGGCTTGATGTCTAGCTGCAGGATTATATAAGAAATTGTGTACTGACCGGAATAAGAGCTAGAATCGCTCTCCTTTTTTTAATTAAAAGAGGAAAAAAAAAAACCAGACTCTTCCAGTATTTAATAGTTTGATTACCAAACCCAGACTGTCACATTCTAGGTAGAAGAAATTCCAAGGCTGCAGGTCAAGGTCATCAGTTTCTTTTCTGAAGCAGAAATTTTTCTCCCATCTCATATTTCATTGGAATGAAGAAAGGGAAAGGAATTAGTGTTTTGCCTTTATACTGAAAAAAAGAAAAAGAAATTTTTAAAGTAACTGGGCAACAAAAATAGATTAGAGAGAGACAGATTTTATTATCAGCAGTTGGAATGACCAATTCCAATTGGTCATTGGGAACTAAAGTAAACTGAAAGTTTTAGAAAGCACATTTAGGCAGGTCAGAGCCTATTCTTTAAATTTTTTTAATTGAAAAACAGTTGATTTACAGTGTTGTGTTAATTTCTGCTGTGTAGCAAAATGACTTACATACATAGATAGATTCTTTTCTGTATTGCTTTCTATTATGGTTTATCCCAGGATATTGAGTGTA